ACAAGCAGAAACGGCTGCATTCGGCAGAAAAATACATGAAGACTAATTTTCAAACAGCCCTGTTCACTGATAAGTGCCGTGCAACCCTGGATGGTCCAGATGGATGGAGTAGTGGATGGTTGGTGGACGGCCGCCCTGTTCCAACAAGGCTGCGACGTCAGAAAGGCGGTGGTGGAGTCATGTTTTCGGACGGAATCATGGGAACAGAGCTGGTCGGCCCCTTTAGGGTCCCCGAAGGTGTAAAGATGACCTCTGCAAAGTATGTGGAGTTTATGACTGACCACTTTCTTGCCTGGTACAGAAGGAAGAACTATGCTTTCCGTAATAAAATCATCTTCATGCATGACAATGCACCATCTCATGCTGCAAAGAATACCTCTGCATCAATGGCTGCTATGGGGATAAAAGGAGAGAAAGTCATGGTGTGGCCTCCATCCTCCCCTCACCTCAATCCTATTGAGAACCTTTGGAGCATCCTCAAGCAAAATATCTATAAGGGTGGGAGGCAGTTAACATCCAAACAGCAGCTCTGGAAGGCTATTCTGACATCTTGCAAACAAATTCAAGCAAAACTGTCCAAAAACTCACAAGTTCAATGGATGCAAGACTTGTGAAGCTGCTATCAAATAAGGGGTCCTATGTTAAAATGTTTAAAAAGTTAAAATGTTGTTAAAAGTTTGATTGAAATAGCTTTTGATTTCAGTAAATATGCTGCAAACACAACAAATGACAATTTTCAGTTCTGTACAACCTATAAAGTGTTTTGAAACTTACTGTGCGTAATAATTTGGAACAGTGCATTGGAAGTTTTTTATGTTTAACAAAAATACTGTTATCATTAGGAGGTTTGTTCAATAAAATGTGAATTGTACTCTTAATAGTTGATAACATGAGAATTATGCTGACTGTTATTTACAAATATTTAGGTAAATGAGAAAAATATAATTTGCATAATAATTTGGAACAGGGTGTATATATACGTATAGGGCACTATGTCCATACACCGTTCTGTCACCCCTCATATATACGTATGTATAGGGCACTGTCCATACACCCTTCTGTCACCCCTCATATATACGTATGTATAGGGCACTGTGTCCGTACACCCTGCCACACCCTCATCTGTCACCCCTCATGCCATATACGTATATTATGTATAGGGCACCATGTCCATACACCATGCCACTGCCACCCCTCATATATTTGTATGTATAGGGCACCATGTCCATACACCATGCTGCCACCCCTCATATATATGTATGTAAAGGGCACCGTGTCCGTACACCATGCTGCCACCCCTCATATATATGTATGTATAGGGCACCATGTTGCCACCCCTCATATATACATATGTATAGGGCACCATGCTGCCACCCGTCATATATATGTATGTAAAGGGCACCGTGTCCGTACACCATGCTGCCACCCCTCATATATATGTATGTATAGGGCACCATGTCCATACACGTGCCACCCACACCGTCACCCCTCATATATATGTATGTATGTATAGGGGCACCATGTTGCCACCCCCTCATATACATGTATGTATAGGGCACCATGCTGCCACCCCTCATATATATATGTATGTATAGGGCACCGTGTCCGTACACCATGCCGCCACCCCCTCATATATATATATATGTATATAGGCACCATGTCCGCACCATGCCGCCACCCCTCATGTATGTATAGGGCACCATGCTGCCACCCCTCATATATATATGTATGTATAGGGCACCATGTCCACCCTACACCCTGCCGTCACCCTCATATATATATGTATGTATAGGGCACCATGTCCACCCTGCCGCCACTACACCGTGCCACCCCTCATATATATGTATGTATAGGGCACCATGCTGCCACCCCTCATATATATGTATGTATAGGGCACCATGCCCGTACACCCTGCCGTACTACCCCTCATATATATATATGTATGTATAGGGCACCATGTATACCGTGCCACCCCCTCATATATATGTATGCACCGCCACCCCTCATATATATATGTATGTATAGGGCACCATGCTGCCACCCCCTCATCCTCATATATATGTATGTATAGGGCACCATGCCCGTACACCCTGCCGCCCCCCCTCATATATATGTATGTATGTATAGGGCACCGTGTATGCCACCCGTCATATACATGTATGTATAGCTGCCACCCCTCATATATATGTATGTATAGGGCACCATGCTGCCACCCCTCATATATATGTATGTATAGGGCACCATGCTGCCACCCCTCATATATATGTATGTATAGGGCACCAACACTGCCATGCTGCCACCCTCATATATATGTATGTATGTATACCATGCTGCCACCCCTCCATGGGCACCATGCTGCCACCCCTCGTATATATATGTATGTATAGGGGGCACCATGCTGCCACCCCTCGTATATATGTATGTATAGGGCACCATGTCTGCCACCCCTCCACCCCTCATATATATGTATGTATATAGGGCACCATGTCCCACACTCTGCCACCCCTATATATATGTATATGTATAGGGCACCATGTCCACCATGCTGCCACCCCTCATATATATGTATGTATAGGGCACCATGTCCGTACACCCTGCCACCCCTCATATATACGTATGTATAGGGCACCATGTCCGTACACCATGCCACCCCTCATATATATATATGTATGTATAGGCACCATGTCCGTACACCATGCCACCCCTCATATATACGTATGTATAGGGCACCATGTCCGTACACTCTGCCACCCCTCATATATATACGTATGTATAGGGGCACCATGTCAGTACACCCTGCCACCCCTCATCATATATACGTATGTATAGGGCACCATGTCCGTACACCCTGCCACCCCTCATATATATGTATGTATAGGGCACCATGTCCGTACACCCTGCCACCCCTCATATATACGTATGTATAGGGCACCATGTCCGTACACCATGCTGCCACCCCTCATATATACGTATGTATAGGGCACCATGTCCGTACACCATGCTGCCACCCCTCATATATATACGTATGTATAGGGCACCATGTCCGTACACCTCTGCCACCCCTCATATATATGTATGTATAGGTATAGGGCACCCCTGTCACCCCTCATATATATATATGTATGTATAGGGCACCATGTCCGTACACCCTGCCACCCCTCATATATACGTATGTATAGGGCACCATGTCCGTACACCATGCCACCCCTCATATATACGTATGTATAGGGCACCATGTCAGTACACTCTGCCACCCCTCATATATACGTATGTATAGGGCACCATGTCAGTACACTACACTCTGCCACCCCCTCATATATATATGTATGTATAGGGCACCATGTCCGTACACCCTGCCACCCCCTCATATATACGTATGTATAGGGCACCATGTCCGTACACCCTGCCACCCCTCATATATACGTATGTATAGGGCACCATGTCAGTACACCCTGCCACCCCTCATATATACGTATGTATAGGGCACCATGTCCGTACACCTGCCACCCCTCATATATACGTATGTATAGGGCACCATGTCCGTACACCCTGCCACCCCTCATATATATGTATGTATAGGGCACCATGTCCGTACACCCTGCCACCCCTCATATATACGTATGTATAGGGCACCATGTCCGTACACCATGCCGCCACCCCTCATATATACGTATGTATAGGGCACCGTGTCCGTACACCCTGCCACCCCTCATATATACGTATGTATAGGGCACCATGTCCGTACACTCTGCCACTCCTCATATATATGTATGTATAGGGCACCGTGTCCGTACACCATGCTGCCACCCCTCATATATATACGTATGTATAGGGCACCATGTCCGTACACTCTGCCACCCCTCATATATATATGTATGTATAGGGCACCATGTACACCCCTCATATATATATATGTATGTATAGGGCACCATGTCCGTACACCCTGCCACCCCTCATATATACGTATGTATAGGGCACCATGTCCGTACACCATGCCACCCCTCATATATACGTATGTATAGGGCACCATGTCAGTACACTCTGCCACCCCTCATATATATGTATGTATAGGGCACCATGTCCGTACACCCTGCCACCCCTCACCCCTCATATATACGTATGTATAGGGCACCATGTCCATACACCCTGCTGCCACCCCTCATATATATGTATGTATAGGGCACCATGTCCGTACACCCTGCTGCCACCCCTCATATATACGTATGTATAGGGCACCATGTCCGTACACCATGCCGCCACCCCTCATATATACGTATGTATAGGGCACCATGTCCGTACACCCTGCCACCACCCCTCATATATACGTATGTATAGGGCACCATGTCCGTACACCCTGCCACCCCTCATATATATACGTATGTATAGGGCACCATGTCCGTACACCCTGCCACCCCTCATATATATGTATGTATAGGGCACCATGTCCGTACACCATGCTGCCACCCCTCATATATATGTATGTATAGGGCACCATGTCCGTACACCGTGCCACCCCTCATATATATGTATGTATAGGGCACCATGTCCGTACACCATGCTGCCACCCCTCATATATGTATGTATAGGGCACCATGTCCATACACCCTGCCACCCCTCATATATATGTATGTATAGGGCACCATGTCCATGTCCACCCTGCCACCCCTCATATATATGTATGTATAGGGCACCATGTCCGTACACCCTGCCACCCCTCATATATACGTATGTATAGGGCACCGTGTCCGTACACCGTGCCACCCCTCATATATATGTATGTATAGGGCACCATGTCCGTACACCATGCTGCCACCCCTCATATATGTATGTATAGGGCACCATGTCCATACACCCTGCCACCCCTCATATATATGTATGTATAGGGCACCATGCTGCCACCCCTCATATGTATAGGACACCATGCCCGTACACCGTGCCGCCACCCCTCATATATACATCATGTATGTACAGCATGCACACTGGGCACATGGGCTACTCACTGCATAGTTATAGTAGTGTGTCTCCACGAGGGTGGCATGCCTGGACTTCTCCAGCAGGAAACTGGACTTCTCACACACCAGCAGGTGCCGGGGACATGTCTGTAATGTGGGTAACATCCTAAAGCCCTCCAATGGTAACAAACGTGACACTGATGGACCCGCACTAAGAGACTAGGAAGAGGAGGATCTCCCCGGCATTTCCTGCCTGCCTCCCTGTACGGCCCTCTGTGCCTGGAGCGACACTAGTGAACGACACTGCCATCTGCTGGGAAGATAGCTAACTCCACTAGTTCTATAGCCACAATTGTACTGTACATCGAGCAGCCATAACATTATGACCACTGACAGGTAACCTGACATTGATTATCTCGTAACAATGGCGCCTGCAAGTGGCTGGGATATATTAGGCAGCAAGTCAACGTGTTGTCCCAGAAGCTGATGTGTTGAAAGCAGAAAAAATGGGCAGCATAAGGATTTTAGTGACTTTGCCAAGGACCAAATTCTAATGCGTAGACATCTGCATCAAGGCTGGTTGTAGTCAGGGGCGGACGAACCATTCGGGAATTTGGGCATTGCCCGAGGGCCCGGGGTCAGTAGGGGGCCCGGTTAGAGGTTCACTGGGCACAATTCACTAAGCGGTATCTTACCACATCCAAGTATGCGGTAGTATACCACATAGCATTTTATTAAAAAAATGTTTGAATTCACCAAAAATGCTACTAAAATACCGCATAAGTTATTTTATCAAGTCATGCGGTATTTTAGTAGTGAAAAACATACATTAATGTTTTAGCTGTCAGCGGGGTTCCCCACTGACAGCTGAATGTAAAAGAAAGAACTGCAGGCAATTAAAAAAATAATTGAAAAAACGGCGTGGGGTTCCCCCCTCTCATCCATACCGAGCCCTTTGGGTCTGGTATGGATTTTGAGGGGAACTCCCATGCCAGAATTTAAAAAAAAAAATGGCGTGGTGATCCCCCCTAAAATCCATACCAGACCCTTATCCGAGCATGCAGCCCAGTAGGTCAGGAAAGGGGGGACGAGCGAGACCCCCAACCTCCTGAACCAAACTAGGCCACATGCCCTCAACATTAGGGGGGTGCTTTGGGGGGTACCCCCCAAAAGCACCTTGTCCCCATGTTGATGGGGACAAGGGCCTCTTCCCCACAACCCTGGCCTGTAGTTGTGGGGGTCTGTGGGCAGGGGGCTTATCAGAATCTGGACACCCCCTTTAGCAAGGGGGCCCCCAGATTCTGCCCCTATGTGAATGAGTATGGGGTACATGGTACTGCTACCCATTCACAAAAAAAAAGTGCATTTTGAAAAAAGACAGGAGACAGGCTTTGACAAGTCCTTTATTAAAAGAAGAAAAATAAAAGAATGTCCCATGAAGTAGATGTAACATTAATCATGACGTCCGCTGCTGCCGCTACCCGAACAAAAAAGGCTCTGCTCCCGATGCTGGCTCCCAACTGTCTGACTGCTCCGCTGGCTTGACAGTCTTTAAATAAGTGTAGGGAACTGTTATTTTATACACTAGTTGTGGTTTGTTTACATCCATATACAGCCACTACCATAGAGGTCCCATTACAGACAAGTCCCTAAGTGTGCTTCCTGCCCCTACAAGGAGGTCAAGAAACCCCAGGATGTTATATAGTTGTTTTCCAGGAAGTATCAGGCAGAGGGTACCAGCCTGCCATGTGCTATGTATCTGGGGAGAACTGTATGGGGATTCTGTGAGTACTGATCCAGATTAACAAGGCTGCTATCTATTTAGTTGTTACTGAAGCAGATTAGGTCTGCCTCTGTTATATTTCAACTTCTGTATAGGAACCCTAATATCTCTGTAAGAGAGAGATTTGTGGTTCATTATCATTATTCTATTTACACACTGCAGAATCCTTATAGTTGTCTATATATATATATATAGATCAGTGTTTTCACCTGCATAAGACTGTCAGGTGAACTTTCTGTTAATTGCAGTGTATCTATGCAGCCTCTTTGCTTAAAGAGCCTTATTGGTCTGGATCTCCCTTTAGCTAGGATTAGCATAGGGAGCGTTGGATAGATTAGGCTAGAGGTAGGTTAGGCATCCGACGGCCACTTAGACAGATAGAGGCCCGGTTGCAGTGACAGCCCAGTTTAGGGATAGGGACTAAGAGTGAGGATAGATAGAGCATTTTATCCTTTTAGGTGATGCATCGCTGATCTTCAGACAAGCAGTGCAATCGTCTGCATGTTACTTGGACGCCATCACAGCATCTAAAGTGGAAGCGTGCATCTTATTGACTCTCACCTCTCCAGGGGCCCCTGCAACCGGACAGCGCTATAACCCATGGTTGGAGGTATTCTGTTTACTACATGCACATATACCCGGGTATAATTGCAACCTCCCAATTTATGGTAAATTGTAATTCCTGAATGTTATTCTTATGCATCCTGTTTTATGTGGCTGCTTTATATAAACTTTGCATTAATCTCATACAGGTGTGGTGACATGTTTTCATGTTAGAAATATAAGCTGGGTGCATTAATACTGCTATGTATAGTTACTTTAAGTTGTCTACCTGTTACATTCCTAGAAAGGGGTGAGTCTCCTCAATTGCAGGATCCCTATTCTAGGTGGAGGCACTGCCATTTGTATTATCACAACCCCCTCTTCCATATAGCGAAGGCTCAGGATTGCCTACTCATATACAGGTTAGCGCCATAGCTTGTTTGGTGTGGGCCATTTCACATAACCCCCCCCAAAACAGGGCTACATATGTAAGGGGTGGGGCCAGCCGTGGACTTCACGAGTGTCACCCCGCCCCTTGTGGAGTCATCAACCGGGGCTTGCTGGGTCAATTATGTCACAAGGAGGTGGGGCCACACACGTGATGTCACTGGGTGACCCTGTCCCCTTACATATTTAAGAACTGACAAGCAAGTGGAGCAGTCAGATGGCTGGGAACCAGCAGAGCCTTTTTTTTTTCGGGGGTAGCGGCATCAGCGGATGTCACGATTAATGTTACATCTACTTCAGGGGACATTCTTTTATTTTTCTTCTTTTATTAAAGGACTTGTCAAAGCCTGTCTCCTGTCTCTTTTTCACTACACTTTTTTTTGTGTGGATGGGTAGCGGTACCATGTTCCCCATACTTATTTATATAGGGGGGAGTGGGATCTGGGAGCCCCCTTGCTAAAGGGGGCTTCCAGATTCCAATAAGCCCCCTGCCTGCAGATCTCCAGAACCACAGGCCAGGGTTGTGGGGAAGAGGCCCTCCACCAAGGTGCCAATGCTCAGCCATGTCCACAGTCAAAAGTCCTACGATCAGCACATGAGCATCAGAACTGGAACATGAAGCAATGGAAGAAGGTGACCTGGTCTGATGAATCTTGTTTTCTTTTACATCATTTGGATCATGATGCATGTGCATCTCGTACCAGGGACACCAGGATACAGTATGGGAAGAAGGCAAGTTGGCAGAGGCAGTGTGATACTTTGGGCAATGTTCTGCTGGAAAACCTTGGGTCCTGCCTTCATGTGGATGCTACTCATAACCTACCGAAGCATTGTTAGTAGCCAAGTACACCCCTTCAAGGAAACCAAATTCCCTGATGGCAGTGGCCTCTTTCAGCAGGATAATGCATCCTACCACACTGCAAAAATAGTTCAAGAAAGGTTAGAGGACCACAAAAACAAGTCTGAGGGGTCGACATGGTCTCCAGATCTCAATCTAATCAAGAATCCGTGGGATGTGCTGGAAAAACAAGTCTGATCATTGGATCCATTCATTTATATATGTATTTATCTATTTTATTATTTTTAGGCAATTTATGCAGCACATTATCAACTGTCCTCGGGCCCCTTCTCTTCTCCATCTACACCTCCTCTCTTCAAATCTATCTCTCTACCCCCCGCCTCACCCCCTCTGTCTCTGCCCGAATCACAAACCTACTAAACGATATATCAGACTGGATGTCACTCCACTTCCTTAAACTGAACCTCTCCAAAACCGAGCTCCTAGTCTTCCCCCCAGCCCGCACACCACCGCCCACTGACTTCTCCATCACGTCCAACAATGCCACTATCAGGCCTGCTCCGCAGGCCAGAGTACTTGGTGTCGTTCTGGATTCCAATCTGTCCTTCCAGCCCCAAGTCCAATCACTAACAAACTCATGCAGACTCCACCTCCGCAACATCGCCAAAATCCGCACGTTCCTAACCCCAGAAACCACTAAACAGCTCATCCACTCCCTCATCATATCACGACTCGATTACTGCAACTCCCTCCTCACTGGCCTGCCTCGCCACAAGCTATCCCCACTTCAGTCAATCCTGAATATGGCAGCCAGACTCATCCACCTTGCCAATTGCTCTTTTTCTGCCACCCCCCTCTGCCAATCCCTCCACTGGCTTCCGATTGCACAACGGATCAAATTCAAAATCCTAACACTGACGTACAAAGCTGTCCACCATACTGCTCTGAACTACATCACCGACCTAATATCCAAGTACCACCCGCACTCCGCTCCTCTCAAGACCTCCTTCTCTCTAGTTCCCTGGTCTCCTCCTCCCATACCCACCTCCAGGATTTCTCCAGGACATCACCTATCCTCTGGAACTCCCTTCCCCATTCCATCAGACTATCACCTACTCTCCTCTCATTTAGGCGCACACTGAAAACCCACCTCTTCAGGGAAGCCTACCCCACCCCCTGCTAATTGCCGACTTCCTCCACTCTTCCTACCACTCCATTCCCCACAGCTATCTCCTCCTGTACCACTATCCACTCCCTCCTAGATTGTAAGCTCGAAGGAGCAGGGCCCTCGAACCCCTCGTGTATCGCATTGTATTGGTATTGTACTGTCGCATGTTCTGTCTCCCTTTGTAATGTACAGCGCTGAGCGAACTGTTGGCGCTTTATAAATACTGTATAATAATAACTGTACATTTACATCAGTCCCTGCCCTAAAGGGGCTTACAATCTAAAGTCGCTATTGAAATACATAAATACCTGGAGGAAACCAACGCAGGCACAGTGAGAATATGCAAACTCCATGCAGATGGTGTCTTGGCCAGGTTTTGAAGTAGAAATGCTAGCCATTGAGCCACAACTTAGCTGCAGAGTGAGATTTTTTTACAAGTGTATTAGGGGTCATTC